TGAACATTCGGCCGAAGGCCTTAAGCTACACAATGCGGACCGCTAAGGTGTAGCTTCTCGTGCGTGGTGACAGAACTAAGGACACAAACACGCAGAGAAAATGAGTTCCTGATCTGCACTTCTGATGTTGGGAAAGATCCCAAGGCAAGACGCCTTGAACTGCTTTATACCTTCGAAATCCTAACTAGCACTACACTGCATTATGCTATGCGCCTGCACGGAACCACGCTACACTGCATTCCGCGGAACCTGTGCTTCGCCTCCTGCGCGACGGACTGCCGCGCACTAACTCCCTACCTTGCCAGTCTTCAGCTCGACTGCGCAGTCCCAAACGCTGCAACGCCGCGGACACCTCCGCCTCGAGGGTGGACATGGTATCCCGCGCCTTCGACAGAAAGGAATCTAACTTCTTCTCTACCCGCCGCCGACTCCTACTGTCACCTGTCAACAACCCGGCTGCACGAAGCTCTAACTCACGCAGTGTGAGTTTCTCCTGCGCCGCCACTTCCTAGTGGGCGTAGCCCTTGAGACTGTGGGCGACGCGCCTCGCCATCTCTTCCTTCGTGCGATCTGCCTCTCGCCTGCGATCATCTTCAATTACTACCAACTGCGATTCGGCCTCCGCAAGCTGAGCTCTCAATTCCCCGCACTCCGACTAAAGCCTGCGGATTAAATCCTCATCCGCCTGTCGTGCGAGCTGACACTCCGCCAACAACCGCGTCTGTCGCACGAGCTCCTCTTACAGAACCTGATTCTAAGTCTTCTCAGAAATCAGTTCTTCTGTGGTCTTCACCACATCCCTGGTGAGCTCTTCCAGTCTCTCCTTCTTCAATGTGTCGTAGTGGGTGTGCGACTTCCGCACGAGATTATACTGTCCCCACAAGCATTCATGCTTCTCCCGCAACTCCTTAAGTTCCCGGTCCACCCGAGCTAGCAGCTTGCTGGTGTGGACTTTAGTGCGAGTCCGCCTGCGCACTAACTCGACGTAGGACCCAGGCTGGCGAGGATCCGCGTATTTATCAAATTTGCGATCCAAGTACCTCAGCAGAGGTACTACCTGCTCATAGATCGCCGCCGCCGGCGCACTAACGATTTCCTCCTCCTCCTCGGTGTCTCCCGATCCCGACATTGCTTTCGTGGATCCTCCTTCGTCATCATCCGAGGGAAGGATTTCGGTCGCCATTGATTGCGTTGGCGACTGGCCCGAGTGGGGCTGCGAGTGGTCTGCGGGTGCTGCCGCCGATGGCACTCCTGCAGCTTCGCTGCTCCCCGCTAAAATGTCCAAGGCGGTGGCTGAATGTGGCCGTGCTACATCCCCATCATCCGCCTATCGATCGTCGATCGTCTCCCCTTCGCCGCCGACGTCCGCCGCCGAAGGCGATCGAGCGGAATGTGTCTGCGCGGGGTGTAATTGCGCATCGCGCGCTCGAATTTCGTCCCGCGGACGTACAATCTGCTCCTCCGTTAGGTCCTGCGCGAGGGCTGCGCCTGGACTGCGCGTAGGCGCAATTTCCGGCGCCTGGTCCGCCGCAGGCGCAGCGCCGAAGGCGACAGAGCCGAAGGTCGCTCGCCCGATGTACCTGGGCCCGAAGGCCCTACCGCCGAAGGCGCATCTGCCGGCGGATTATCCGCCGAAGGTGCGATCTCCGCACGCTCCCTGCTAAAAACTCGATGGCCCGAAGGCCCTGGCGCCGAAGGCGCAAATCGCGGCGCGTTATACGCCGGAGGGTCTGGCCCCGAAGGCCCTTGACCCGAAGGCGGATCTTCCGCCGGCTTCTTCCCCTTCCTACGTTGTACCGGGGGTGAATCCTGCCTACTCGTAGGCGGCCGCCTGTGCGTAGGCGAACTTTCCCTGCCTACGCGTGGGCAGAGGTCCACGTCTGCTTGAGGTCGCCTATCCGCTAGGTTACCTGTACCGATTGCTATTTACACTGCTGCTGCGGTACAGTTTACCAAAAATGTTTTAAATTCCGCATAAATACCAAAAGTGTGTTACCACATTGTCGCAGTCGATTTTTTGAATAATGGCTTCTCATAGAGTTGTTGATTTGGGCAAGTTCAGCAAGAAGGTTTTGATATCTTCGCGAAATCCACTTTGTAACATCATAGTTTCAATCTAGATCATTCGCAAGTTATTCTAAAGTTGGGTGCGATTGTTGTTAAAGTGGTTGAAGTTTCGTTGTTGCTATAATTGCCCAATCCAAATCAAGTTGATCAAAGTCTGTAAAAAGCTGAGAATAGTGACGAAAACGCTAGAGATAATCAGATTCAAAAGATGAGTTCCAAGATAACTCGCAAAGTATGTCAACCACTTACTTTTCATATTTCGCTGTGGATAAGTTCGTCTAATTCTCCAGTCTAGTTCACCAGTTAGTGTCCGCAACCGATGTTCCGGGTTTCTTCTAGATCGGCTCCTATCAACTAATTGCACAGATTCGAAATCGTCACAGGACCCACTGCTCCCCCTGCTTCTTAACATGGTTCGTTTCATTGTTGCATATCAAACACGGCAGCAACTTTTACAGCACAGTATCCCGTAGCAGGTCGTCTAAGCGAAAATCTCGACATGGCGCGTCCATGCTCCTGGAAATGTGCAATGGTACATGAGTGAGCCTGATCTCATTCTAGATAAATGGCAAGTGACTACTCATATCGGAGCTTAAAAGCCCAGATCCTTAAGGCCGATCGTCGTCGCAAACTCTCACCATATGCATGATTGAGAATCTGAGTATCTTACGATCTATCAGTGCATAGAAGGATACGACAGATCACGAGGTTAACAGAATAGATCGAAGGTTTGTGTCCCCTGTCCAAAGAATCCAATTATCCAACACGTCAGGTCATCAAGAAAGAAGAGTATTGTAGCAACAAACCGCCTACGGTGATTTAGCGAATTTGCACCTGTGCGAGGTTCCTGAGTTGGGAGGCATGTCCCATATGTGTTAAGCAGATTGGTCGACGTCGATATCGTTCATTGCCTTGTTCCTACTATCAAATGCACACACTTGTATGTATTGAAGACTGAACATGGACAAGAACTTCCATCGTGACCAATGTCACTGGAAGCTGAACAAGTAGATGTCTGCATTTGACTGTGAATGAGGGAAATTTAAGTTTCAAGAAAGTCTCTCACTGTACATCCCGCTTTGGTCATGGTGGTGACTTTCAACTCACAGAAGAGCATAATCTGTTCGTGATCCAGTCTCCGATTTCGTGTCTCGAATAGACTCATGAGTCAAGAGTCTACTCTAGAAATGAACGACGCGTCACATGTCTTCGACTGCTGTGAGTCGTCTCCAGCTGACGATTACTGTATTGCCGATTCCAGTCCAATTATGGTACTCCGTGTTGAACATCTACTACTCCCAGAACCGATGAATCATGTCGAGGCCTAACATCGTTTTACCCGTCTGTATGTTTTCGTCCCTCAAAAGCTCGATAAGCTCATTCCATCGTGTTTGCTCCATGACCTGGTTCTCCGGGAAAGAAACGATGAGTCATGCCTGGTCTTGAAGGATAATCGTTAGGCCCCTGTCTGAGAACTGCCTAATTACACAGAAAGCTTGCGCAGCTCTTCAGAAAGGTGCCTGTCTGTCTCTAGATGGATCGAAATTCCCCGAGGAATTCGAAAGCTGCACAGGGTGTTACTGGGAGCATACTTTTCCCTCACTGTACGTGAACATGGAATTCACACGAACCCATATCTACTACTTCCATGTCCAGTGAAAGAGCGAAAGCCTTCTCGTGATTTTCATCGCTTTTGCTTACTTACTGGGTGATTCGACATGGAAGCCTTCAGGTTTGCAAAGTTTCTTAGCATGCGATAGGCGTACGGTGAAGGAAGATATTTTGTTCGGTGCACCCTGCTCATGATCAGGCCACGTATAAGCCTTTCACATTGTAGCCTGCCCTGGCCTCGGAGCCTTGAAAATATCTCCAGAGATGGACAACTGACCGGAAGCTGAGTCGACTTTCGGCCGCTTGGTGTGCTGCTGTGCCAGATCTCAGAAACTCAATGACGTGCGAGGAAAAATTGAACCCATGCGGTTCGAGGTCCTGCGTTCTCAGCCTTGTACACAGAAGGAAAACCTCGTGGTGGGCCATGGGCGAGTCAAGAGTCCAGGCTAGCGACAATCCCAGGATACAAAAGCTTATCCCAACACAGAAATGTGACGTCCCAGGAAACAAACATGTAAGAATATTGCTCATCGGAGCATATCGTTACATGGGCTCGTAATTACAATACATCCCACAGGCTTTTCCGGAACTGAAGCTCAGCTTTGATTGAATGGGAAGTACATCAACAGACTTCCCTCAACATCCTTCCCTTCGTGACACGTGATCCTTGTGCCCAAAGAGATCCGATCCATAATTGCACCCATGGAAGTACAAATGCACATCCGTCGCCGATCCAAACCAGTTACCTCAAACCACGTGCAGTACACAAATGTAGCTTAAAATTTAATATGATTGATAATTAATTAAATTCTAAATTGACATAGACTCCGACGACTCTGACGGGGAGGGTTGCTGTTGCTGGGTCCACAGATTGAGCTACGTCCTCGTTTAGCTGGCAAGGAAATTTCGAGTGGGGTTTGCTAAAGCCATGCATCGATTGGAGGACAAGATATGACGTGCACTGGGGTCAAGGTGAGCATCCAGTGCATGGAGTGCTTGTGTGAGATTCTCATTTGTTGTAGTCTCCATCGTAGTAACGACATCTTTGGAACTAAACCCCAACTACAGACAGAGCTACAGCTCCTGACAAGCTAGCTAGGCAGGGGCTTGAGTCTCCGCATGTTCCTCTTCTGGCGTGTCTGCTGCTGCTGCTGCCTCTGCTGTCCTGAAACTAGAGTGCTGCAATAACCAAGAGTCTTGTCATGCAGCCAGACGAAGCACACTTACTACCACCATGTGAAATGTCATGCGATGATAGGACGGAAAAGGGGAAAAGTGATTGAAGAAAAATGAATAAAATCCGTTTCGTATGAATGTACTTGAGACTGAACACTGGACGCGGAGAGCTCTCGATCGACAGCCGAGTGCATCATAATAGAAATCAGGATAATGTATTCACGCACTTCTCTAGTACTCTGAAGCATCGCATCGCATCGCATCGCATCACATCACTCACTGATTGACTGATGCGCATGTTATTGTGATCGAGGTGGAATCATTGGAACCCTAGCTAGCGATTGCTTGATAGCGACTCGAACGAATGCTGCACGATATGGACCTCCCTTGCCCGAAGAGCAGCTGAGTTACATGTATCGGCTTCTCGCGCGACGATTCCGGTGACAAAACTGGGGCTAACCCGGACTTTCATAAACCGTACTTCCTCATGTCGAAAAGGTATGTGTGCTTAGTTTACTGCGCTTCTCCGAAAGTTTTGTTTCGACAGTTGATGCCGACTTCAATGCCTGACTTTACTCGATGAGGATGGAGGTCGATGATCGTTCACAGATTACAGGACGGATTAGCTCGGAAGAATGTACAGGACGGAGAAAGACGTGTGCTGATTATTGTAGTCCGCAATAGTAGATGTTTAATCACTTGGCGGCGAAGATTCTGTGCAATGGTTAACTTGCTCCTTCCTAGTGCAATGTGTAGATGTATTTTTCCAGCAATTGTCGAGGCATAGCAAGCTGGTCACCTGACATTGCACATGTGAGAGTTGTTTTTTTGGTCATTCCTTGCCAGGTCGTCGATCGTATTGCTCTGCCTCTGCCTTCTATTCGCCGCGGCAAATCATGGAAATGCGAGCAGCTTTCTCCGCAATGGAGAACAAGGCTCTTCCGCCTCCGGAAAGATCGACAGATCGCACGAGCTGGAAAAATCAGTAGCATCTGTGATTCTAAGGATTGGATCTGGAATATATGGGATCGAAGAAGACATCCAGTACCTAATCACAGGCAAGTCCCTGTACACGCTTCGCTGTCTTTTCAGCAGTTCTGACCAGACGAGAGAATGAGAATTTCTGTGACGAATTGTGCATTTTGTGGCGAAATGCCATGCGTTCTTCCAGCATATCCTTCCAAATTTCGAAGTTGGAGGAAGTGCTTTATTCCGAAAGATGAACTGTAGAGGGTCAACTGGGCTATTCAGAAGGATTCAAAATGAGCTCGGCATGGCCATCTATAACAAAGCAATGATGCACATGGATTTCAATGACACACAAGTCTAGATATGTGCAGGCAGTAAAATAATCACGTAGAGTGGGAGTGTTGAGCAGGGAAGCATCGAGGAGGGGATTCTTTAGTGTGATGGGGAATCGAGATTCTTGATCCGAATTTGCGCTAATTGATTTTTCGCTCTCTTTGTTGCATTATCTTGTCAAATAGGCGAAGCTGCACCATCTCCCGAGTCACCTTCGGATCCATCGCCGGAGCCTCCAGAACCTCCCAGTCCCTCTCCACCTCCTCCACCAGCTCCATCTCCTCCTCCTCCAAGCCCTTCACCACCTCCTCCAAGTCCTCCACCATCTCCATCTCCTCCTCCTCCAAGCCCTTCACCACCTCCTCCAAGTCCTCCACCATCTCCATCTCCTCCTCCTCCAAGCCCTTCACCACCTCCTCCAAGTCCTCCACCATCTCCATCTCCTCCTCCTCCAAGCCCTTCACCACCTCCTCCAAGCCCTCCACCGCCATCTCCTACTCCTCCGAGCCCTTCACCCCCTCCTCCAAGTCCTCCACCATCTCCTCCTCCTCCTAGTCCTTCACCCCCGCCCCCAAGTCCTCCACCACCGCCATCTCCTCCTCCTCCAAGTCCTCCACCATCTCCTCCTCCTCCAAGCCCTTCACCCCCTCCTCCGAGTCCTCCCCCTCCAAGTCCTTCGCCTCCTCCTCCATCGCCTCCCCCTCCGAGTCCTTCACCCCCTCCCCCAAGTCCTTCGCCTCCTCCTCCATCGCCTCCCCCTCCTAGTCCTTCGCCCCCTCCCCCAAGCCCACCACCTCCTCCGCCAAGTCCTCCTCCTCCAAGTCCTTCCCCCCCTCCCCCAAGTCCTCCCCCTCCTAGTCCTCCACCTCCTCCATCTCCTCCGCCGCCTAGTCCCTCACCCCCTCCGCCAAGTCCTCCCCCTCCAAGTCCTCCACCTCCTCCGCCAAGTCCTCCCCCTCCAAGTCCTCCACCTCCTCCGCCAAGTCCTCCCCCTCCAAGTCCCTCGCCCCCTCCCCCAAGTCCGCCACCTCCGCCAAGTCCTCCTCCTCCAAGTCCTTCACCTCCTCCTCCAAGCCCCCCACCTCCACCTGCACCTCCTCTGCCTCCACCTCCAGAACCGTCTGTGCAGTGGCTATCCGTGAAGGTTGTGACCAAATCGAGATTCGTGACGCTGACAGTTCGTGACTCTGCCATGATCTCCGGCAAGTGGCACATATGCGGCAGCGAGGATCAGGAAATAGCCAGCCCCGATGGTATGACCAGCACATTCTTCAATCCTGTCACCGTTTGTGCCCATCCAGGTCCTGGATTTTGGCCTTTTTATTGGCCATCTGAGATCGAAGGGAGCTTCAGTCTCTACGATGGTGCCAATTCTCAGGTCGCACAGGTTTCGTTCTACGGACCTCGAGCCCAATCGTTGTTCTACTCATCATCGTTCCAGGCAAGCACTACGACTGTAGATTATTCACTGCTTTCTCGTAGGACCGACCCGAATGAAAAGTATTCCTGGGTATTAGGAGATTACGAGGTAGAAATAGATGTAAATCGCAACTTCTTCTGAAGTTTTGAATGTTAGGGAACGATGCCGAATCCAAGTACATGTTATCAAAATCTCAGTGACGATGGCAATTCATTTTGAGAAAGCCTTTGTTTACAAGCCAATACGGTTTCGGCTTCTCGCTCCAACACACAACTTGTAAAAGATTAGTCCTTTCTGGATTTTGGATGCAGCATATTGCCCGGAATACAATTCACAGCTAAAATCCCCCTGTTCTTTGTTCACGATGCCGTTAATGTTCATCTTGGACTTTGCCTGCCTTCTGTCCGATATCCTTGCTGTAATGGAACACCTTCTAGCTTCCGACATAGCTCCGCCGCTCGTATCGGGGACCTACACTCTCTATATCTTGCTATATATTATACTCTGAGCATTTTCAAATCTGTGTGACAGTTTCCTAGTCTGCATTATGATCCCACTTCTCTTACATGTAACCTGGACTCTTCTCATCGGAGTTATCTTATCATCACAATTACCTGGCAGTGTATGAAAAAAGTGTTGGTTCGAGATCTGAATGTTAACATCACATTTCAGAACACAGTCGTAAAGTTAGCTCGAAGAGATGTCTGGAATGGCTAGAGTTTGCAGGCCAAGCATTTTTTCACTAGATTGCAGACGTTTCCTCTTATTCCATTCTGACAATGGCTTTCAAGACGTAGTCTCCTCTGCCAGCCCACATACCGAGAAATATCACGGTCGGCCGTGTCTACTGTAAGTACGAAGATTCAAGCGACATCGATATGCAAATCAGATCCAATACGAGATTGCAAGTGCGTTGCACTTGCGACTCTGTATACTCGCGTGCACGTCACATATGATAAGCAATAAAAAGAACTGAATTACATTCAGCGTGTGAGACAGCTGCTGCATTGTATAATAGCTCGCACACGTACTTGTCATGTCGAACATTCAATGACATGTATATAGGTGTCTGATGGTGTATGGCGAATGTCAATATCCAGTTAGGCTGTCGGCCCGATTTCCTGGCAGACTATTGCTGCACTTTCGTGGGTGATCTGTCAGAATCCTGCGAGTGCAGAAAGGGGACAAGTGCATCCCTCGCCTGAAAGTGGAGATAATATTGCAGAGGCCGAGAGATCAGTACTTTAGTTGCACGGACTCAGAAAATCTGCGTCGACGCGGGCAATGCTCTGCTTTTCGGCGCTCTACACGATCCCACTTGAACGCCACGAAGTTTAAACTCGTAACGAGCACAAGACTGCCATGTTTCGCGGAATCTGTTGTCAGGCTAGGCCAGTTCAGGCCCTGCCTACACAGTCTGACAAGAGAGTCCCTGTATCGTTTGCTTCCCGCCTCCATTGACGTCAATTTGGCACTTATCAAATATTCATATTCAGATATCACTACTTGGACTTCGGTGGGTATAGAATCCAAACTACTGGTTTCATTTTTTATGGTGTGTAGAGTCTACACACCATTCTATGTCTACACTGTAAACATAGAAGTCGAAAGTCCTGGCGATGGCGATACTCATTTTGTGCACCATACGTGTGTGCCCCATACCAATTGTGATCCATACCTGCACTTGTTCCAATGACAGTCACAAATCTAGAGTTGCGGTTCATAGGCGTGACTCCATAATTTGAAAGTCTCTCTATTATATTAGACTTGGCGAGACGTAGAAGATTGTGCTCGATTCGATCAATCACATTTGGATGGAATTAGACCTTTCACTGCATGTAGCTCACAGGCCTATTGCCTATGGAGGTCCAAAGGCAAGGTAGCCCTGTGTTGAAGAGCTTGAAAATATCGATGCTGTCTTCGTTTATGAAAGATCACGACAGGAAGATAGTCCTGCCTCTTGAGCTCACTTCAGAGACAACCCTGAATGAAAACCGGCTGCTAAATTGTTGTATAACTTTATTAAAACTATTTTAATCTCTCTACATCGAATAATCAGGACGATCGTTACAAGACTGGCTGAGAAAGTATCAAGACAAATTTAAGGTTTCCTTAGAAAGCTCACTCACGTGGCTGATGAGCAGGTGAGCATCTCAGCTTTCGTTGAGGAGACTTTTTGTCTAAGCTGCTGCTTGGATCGTGTGGCTGCATCACACGCGAGAAATGTGGGCTCTCAAACGATACTTCAAGAGCTTAATCTATTCTGAAGCTAAAAAGTCTACTGTGATATCCAGAGCAAAACTAGCCGTCAGAGACAAAGGGTGATGGAAACCAGAAGGCCATCACCATCAATCTCGACATTGGGTGCAACCGATGAATAATGAATCCAGTGGTCAGGGAAGTGTGATATTCGTCCAGGCGGGCTCGAAGGCAAGGTCTTACAAGCCACCACATGTACAAGTGCAAGAGCAAATCAGATTGACATTTCTTATGGATCATCGGCCATTTCCGGCCACCCGGCTCGTTCCCCGCAACCACGTCCCTCCTCCCACCACAGCGTGTAAATATGAGGTTGACTCATGCAGTTTTCATGCACTCTGAAGGCTGGCTTCCCTACTACCTGGGCAGAGTGTTCCAGGATAGATGGACGTAAGGATACATAGACACACTCGTCGAGGCAATGGAGTTGATGGATTTACTCTCTTCGTCGTATGGCACGCCAATGTCTTCAAGAATTGTGATGTTGTCTTCGTCATCGCTGTATTCAGTCTCTGTGACTTGTTCGAGTTGCAGAACTTGTTTGAGAACGCGCATAATCTCCCCCATATCTGGCCTTTGCCCGCTAGTTGGAAGCTGACATGACAAAGCCAATTCAGCAACTTTGATCATACCTTCCTTATAGTAATGATTTCCCAGAGTAGGATCGACAACGGTTTCAATCTCATGGGCTTTCACTGCATTTCGCACCTGTCATATAAACGCCCAGCTTAGACTCTCAAAGGTGAAGATGTCAGTGTATTTAATGCAGTCAGAAATAATAAAATTCTAAACATTTGTAAAAGACATTTGCTTGATACAAGTTTTTATGCCTGTTCATACACATCCTGTACATGTGTGAGCTGGTTGGAATTGAAAAGTGAAAACAAGGTAAAACATTCAGTGCGTTTGAAAGTGATGCGTTGGTGTATAAGAGTCATAAGCAGTGTCTGCTTGACAATTCAGTGAACTTCAGATCCACTCAGTAGAAAGATAAGGTGACAACTATAAACAGTTTCAAGAGCAAGATTGGATAGAAATCTGGTAGGGTCTCTCGTTCCATTTCTTACCCACTCTAGCAAGGTTGTTGCTTCACTGTCCGGAAATTTGTAGCTTTGAGGTTTTCTGCCGGTGATAATCTCCAAAAGAACCATTCCAAAACTGAAGACATCACTCTTTGTGGTCAGTTTTCTTCGAACATAATACCTGCATTCAGTCAATGCAACGAATAAATACAATGTGAGGTGAAACCAGAAAAAACATTGAGGATCACAGCAATTGCATAAGACGATGTGATCTAATAGAACACAAAGCAACCAGGGTGCATTTCGTACTCAGGATCCAGATAGCCGAAGGTCCCCTTGATCATTGTAATAATTCCTGTATTTACATGTTGTTTATCAACATCCAGCTCTGGTGCTTGTCTGGAGATTCCCAGGTCTGCAAGCTTTGCTTGAAGTTCGTGGGTCAGCAGAATGTTCTCACTTTTCACATCCCTATGTATGACTGGAGGCTTGCAGTCTTTGTGCAGATACTCAAGGCCTGCACAACAATAATGTCTCCGTATGAGACGGGGCTAAACTCCACTGACATCCACTTCTTTGTCACCTGATTGCAGCTCTGGGTTTACTCAGTCAAAAAACATAATGCTAGATGGAGGATTGTTTTTTCTGCTTACTTACCTCTTGCAGCATTCATCACAATATCTACACGCTTTTTCCAGCTCAACAGCTCATGTTTTGAACCACCGACCTTCTTTGATGAAGCGCTTTTCTTTGTAGAGCTGGCACCTGAAACACATTAGTCGAACTTAACTCTGGAACTTAGCACACTTAGTCGAACTCGAGCTCTGGAATTTGAATTCAGTCCCAGATATGTTTTTTTATATTGAATAACAAATCCTCTTCCCGATGTTCGTCTTGTCTTGTTTGTGTTTTTTGTCATGGTTTTTCCATTTATGTGTCGGGGATAGAGCAAAAGCGGATACTGTTAGGAAAAATAAGAGAAAAAAAGGCTCTTGACACTGAAGTTCATCAATAACTGAAGACAGACTGTGCTTGATGCAACAAACCTTTGGGATAAAGATGGTCGTGCAATGTGCCTTTTGGCATGTAGACGTAGATCAGTATCTGTTGTTGTGCTTCTAAGCAGTAACCAACCAGACATACGAGATTGCGGTGGTGCAATCTTGACAGCAGTCGGACCTGTGGAATCATGAACGAAGAGATTATGTCCCTGGTGTATGTATGAACCCCTTCTCACAAAGGAAACTCCACTGTGGATGGCTATGTGATTCTTAGCGTGTGCTCATAATCTTGTTTAGCCGCGTCTAATGCAACGCTCCTAGAAAATCATCGGTATCGTCCAAGCTTTGTGAAAGGTTGAGGACGTACCTCGTTTAGAAATTCATCCGCTCCTTGGCTTGAATTCGAAGCCCTGACTTTCACTGCTACCTCCTTGCCATCTGGTAGCTTCCCATAATAAACATCTCCGAAACCTCCCTTGCCTATCGAGGTCTTAAAATTGGAAGTGATTGTTTTGACCTCCTTAAATGTGAAACTTTGAGCTGACTTAGGCATGTCCTCTGTTTTCAGATGCAGTAATGTATGATCAGGACAGAAGAATCTACTTCACGACAGAACACCTGCCCTTTCAGTTTGTTGAGATCCAAGACCTATTTACAAGAAGATTCATCGATGCAGTTGTTAGCTTTGAGTACATACCAGGTTTAACCTGTTCTTCAAGATTTGGCTTGCTCTTTCTCCTCCTAACATATATAAACGCTGCGAGTCCAAGACCGATTCCGATGATGACAACTGCTGCAACTCCAGCGATTATTCCGATCGGGGCACCAGATTTTGATTTAGGCGGTTCCTGCTGCTCGTCCACCGTGATACTGATGTTTGGGTTGTTGCTAAATCTGAAAAAGAGACTCAGAATATGTCACAATTATCTTTGACAAGAAGATTTGCAAGTCATGCACAAAGTATTGGAGTTAAAGAGAGGCCATGAGCTGCAAGAGACAGACTTACGAGATGTTCAAGCCTTGCGCTTTTCTGTCTAACAGAGATTGAGGTATTTCTGCAAACTTGTTGTTGTCCAGCAACCTAGAAAAGTAAAGTCACTCAATTGTCACAATATCACATATTCCAACCGGGAAAGTGGCGGACTTGGACGAACTTAAAAGTAATCTGGAAAATTCAGTCTAACATCAATGGTTTCCATTAGAAATGATGGACATTGTTTGACATACAATAGAAGTATGGAAGCAAATTCGTGGATAAAATCTGTTTTGAATTCACGGATTCATCTTAGTGCTGAAGAGTATAGTCACTCTCTTGCATAGCAACTTACAGAGTCTTGAGATTTGGTAGTTCAGCAAGCGACTCAGGTACTGTGCCATTGAACTGATTATTTCTGAGTTCCCTGGCAAAATTTAATTCAAACATGTCAGATCGCTTATCACAGTCGCGATCTGCTGTCAATGATAAATTCACGTCCTCCAAAAGTATCCAATCCTCAGTTAACTAGATGAGCTGCAGCAACCGTCAGCCTTCTTGACTTTAGATATGAACCCAGACTCGTCCACTTACAGAATCAGCAAAGCCTTCAACTTTCCGAAGTAAGATGGAATTGGTCCCGTAAGATTATTAGTATTCAAGTATCTGCAATTCAGAGAATCAATGATTGTCACAGAAACTCAAATTTAAAAGCATGCGATCATAACGGTGAAACGAATCAGTGTATATACATTTGAAACCATGGAGCGGTGAAGAGATTCGCTAGTTTATAATGCCTCATGCCCGAAAGACATATATTGAACCAATCAATCAAGCAATATCGTCTGAAGGCCAAGATTGCTTTGACATTCCATGCCATGATATTCATGATGCAGATATAGCCGACATCATAAAAAATATAAACGCGCTACACCATTTAGAAATCTGGATTAGGGGTAATAAATATTTACTACGGCAGTGCAGAGTATCATTAACCTTTCCACAAGACCTCAGGTCATTTAAACAAAAGGTAAGACATGACCTAAGTGTATATTATATACTGAATTCCTGACAGAACCAGTACTCTCTTTCTATGAACCCACTCAAGTAACCGGTTCCACATCTCCTGTTTATACAGGGAGATTTTACCAGTTATCCCAACTATCAGATTTGTTTTATTGCAGCCATTTTTTCTCAGAAATGGGAAGCAATAAGTTTTTGAAGCAGTACTCATGGTGTTGAATATAAGCTTCAGTTGATTAGAAAGAAACGCTTATTCTTTTGGAACTGACTCAGTATATGAAGCCGAACTTTTTAAAGCATAAGTGCTTACATCTCTTTCAAGTAGATAAGCTGTTCCCAGGACTCTGGAATTCCTCCTGAGAAGAAATTGTTGCTGAAGGTTCTGATGACGTGAAAGAAAACATATTAGTAACATAAATGGCGGAGAACATGCATGAGCCTCACATACAATTTGTTTCTGCAAAACTCGTCCATCACAAACTTGACTTTCCTTAGATAAGAACTTACAATAATTCGAGACGATTTTCGCTTTCGCCTTGTTTATAACCAGGAGGAAGGTCAGGCAATATTCCAGAGATAAGATTATTTTCCAAATTCCTGTTATTAAGCAACCGAGATTGTGTGAGCTTTCACTGTCGGCTGATTCGATTCGAAAGTGCAATATATCGAATTTGAGTGCTGACTGAGATCGCTCAGCTGACTGATAGACACAGCAGGAGATTTGAGAATAATAACTACGGAAACCTGATAAATTGGGGTTTCCACTTACATTGTTTTAAGACGAATTAACAGGTTCAAGCTAACTGGCATAGTTGTCAACTGGTTGTTCCGAAAATTCCTGTCAACACAAGAAAGGAACTCAAGGATTGGTGGACGACAACATGAAAAATCAATTATATAGTTCTAGATAGATGTGTGTGTTTCATGACGTATCTCCATCCATTTTTCAGGCTTGAATGGCAGGAATACGACTTCTGTCTTCCTATTTTTTTACACTAGCAGCTTATCGTGAATTACCAAGAATGGAAGGAACTCTTGGCAGGGCTGGCGGCAGGAAAAAAATATTTTTAACTCACCATCGCATATCATCGCATCCTTCAAAATTGAACATAGACCATGCAGTTTAAGTATGTGGACAGTAAGCATTACTGTGTTGAACTTACTTTCTAAGTTATGCACCATCTCCACTTTAGATTGACAAGACTCATCCAATAACACACTCAGAGGAGAGATAAGAACATTTACACATCCCGAAGATATCCCGGTTCAAACAAAGTCAGAGGAATGGGTCCAGCGAAGTTGTTATTCTGCAAATGCCTGAAAAGGAGTCATACAAATGGTTACGCTATCAGTAATGAGGAACTAAGGACACCCATCCGGCGAACAATAGTTCTATTTGTTGGCCGTATAGCACTTGCTTTATTACATTATAGGCAGGTCTTCTCAGCTTACCGACAATGCATGAAATTTGACTAGAGTGATTTACAATTCTAAACTGTTATCAATACATCGATGACTTCTCACTTCTTCACGCTCATGACGCTCTTCAGATGCATGGGTGTTTTATCTGCTGTAATATACTACAAACCGTCATCGATACTTACAATACTTCAAGTCCACCCGACCTCTTCAGATCCGGAATTTGGCCACCTAAAGCACAAAAGCTCACATTACTGCACAAAACAGTTTCAGCCAGAGGAAATCCATGAGTTATCGAGAGCCACCGGCAGTGAGCTTACTGCTAGTCATCCACGGTGCGATTGACTAATGCAACACTGCGTGAATGTGGTTGAGTAGAGTACTTACAAGGTCACAATTTTGGAGTCCGTTAGGTCTGGTAGAGGACCAATTAACTTGGGGTTGTTTGACATTTCTCTGTATGAGCCGGCCAAGCACGAGAATACGAATCTTGAGTCAGCACTTGGATTCCAGTGTGAAAACCGAGTAGAACATTAGAATAATAGTCGCTTACCATCCAATTCATCTAAGTTTGAGATTGAATTCTGGAAGTTGGCCTAATAGAGGTTTTCTCGGTACAGAACCTTCCAAGTGGCAGACAGAAGAAAATTCTTTCGCAACATATGCTGATGCCTGGTTAAAGATGCATCAAATCAAGGATTGTTGACGTACATGGTGATAATTGACTTCAGATTCTTGAACTCACTCGGAATGGTACCTGTCAGATTTGAATTTGTCAATAACCTGCCATCAGAATAGATCTCAAGATGTCAGTAACGATGTATAGTACTGTCATCTCACAAAGTGTAACCTCACGAATCGAGTGACGGATCTATCGAGCGAGCGATGGATGCTCAAAGTTGGCCAACGAAAAGAATAGTAAAGGGGTATATTCCGAGGCCTGCTTACAACAACTCCACGTTGGTTTTGGCTCCGGAACACTTAATCCACTTGACATTAGAGCATGGATCTCCCGCTGTCCAGTTTGACAGGTTGAATTTATCGCGCAGAGCCTCAATGGCGGTTACTGAAAAATGAAGCGCAGTATTAGATTGCATAGAGCTCTCGCTTCCTTTTTTTCTCAGAACAATCACATTGGCGAATTTAGTGAATTGAACAATTGTATGTCCATACGGAAGAAGCTTGGAAGGTCTCCGAACTGAATTTGCATAAGACACATGTGATGGTATGAAAGGAACGACACTGAAATTGTGTTAATGAGATCACGGAGTATATGAAGGATTCTAAGGAAGGAGATGGTTTTGTACTCTCGTCAGGAGGTAATGCGGCGTTAGCTTTTCGTATCAGCCTGAGGTCCACCGAGCAGAACAATATGAAATACACGACCAGACGATCCATGAATCTCATATTTGGCTGGTGCTGCCGCTGCCGCCTCAGTGTCTGTGTCCTCGAGGTGGACATCAAAACTTCTCTCTGATGAGAAGCCTCCAAATCTATACAGAATCTGCAAGGCTCGAGATGACTGCATACGCCTTAGGCGTAATTCGAAATCACACATGCCATATTCAGTTCTCAGATGTACCCGAGGTGCTGTTGCTGATGCTGCTGCTCCTCCTGTCAGCACCGGACTTCTCCAGCAATTGAGGAGAAGGCAGCCAGTGCCCGAGGCTCCATTCACACACTCGTCTCGGAAATCTGCTCGAGCTCGTCCTAACACAAGAGACGACGGGCATCCAATGCTCGGATATGCACGCGATTCAGTTGACCCATGAGGCACCTCGATTTTTGTCCAGAGCACCGCCGTTGGGTCTAATCTTCACTCTTTATTTTCCTGCTCTTCGTTCTGACTTATGTCAGCGCTACAGTATCCGGCCCTCTGTCTTGTAGCGGACACAAAAGTCCTCCCGAGGTATCCACATAATAATTACAGCGTCGTCACTTACCCATGCAAAGCGCTTGTGAACTTCGTATGCGAATATACGTCATGGACCGCAAACAGTTACCACTCGTTGACACACACTAGATGCGCTTTGTGCACGCTCCGAGTCCACGCACACGCAAGCCACAGTCATCAGCCCTCAAAGGCGAAAGCCATGGTGGACTGTATTCGTGTGGAATTATTCGAATTTGTACTATGGATTGAACCAAGGTAGCACTGGTCGAGCTCCCGTCACAATTTTGCTCACTATAGATATGCTCACTCGATGATATGAAGTAGAAGTTCTACACTTGGTTGAAATTTACGAGAAAATTGTTATTTAAAAATCAACCTGCTTATGATGCTAACTGTCCAATACATACACATTTCACCCTGAATGAAAACCGGCTGCTTAATTGCTGGTTAACTTTATTAAAACTCTTTTAATCTCTCTACATCGAATAATCAGGACGATCGTTACAAGACTGGCTGAGGAAGTATCAAGACAAATTTAAGGTTTCCTTAGAAAGCTCACTCACGTGGCTGATGAGCAGGTGAGCATCTCAGCTTTCGTTGAGGACACTTTTTGTCTAAGCTGCTGCTTGGATCGTGTGGCTGTATCACACGCGAGAAATGTAGGCTCTCAAACGATACTTCAAGAGCTTAATCTGGTGCTAAAACCTCTACTGTGATATCCAGAGCAAAACTAGCCATCAGAGACAAATTGTGATGGAAACCAGAAGGCCATCACCATCAATCTCGACATTGGGTGCAACCGATGAATAATGAATCCAGTGGTCAGGGAAGTGTGATATTCGTCCAGGCGGGCTCGAAGGCCCTTGCCTCTTACAAGCCACCACATGTACAAGTGCAAGAGCAAATCAGATTGACATTTCTTATGGATCCTCGGCCATTTCCGGCCACCCGGCTCGTTCCCCGCAACCACGTCCCTCCTCCCACCACATCGTGTAAATATGAGGTTGACTAATGCAGGTTTCATGCACTCTGAAGGCTGGCTTCCAACTACCTGGGCAGAGTGTTCCAGGATGGATGGGTATAAGGATACATAGACACACTCGTCGAGGCAATGGAGTTGATGGATTCACTCTCTTCGTCGTATGGCTCGCCAATGTCTTCCAGAATAGTGATGTTGTCTTCGTCATCGCTGTATTCAGTCTCTGTGACTTGTTCGAGTTGCAGAACTTGTTTTAGAACGCGCACAATCTCCCCCATATCTGGCCTTTGCCCGCTAGTTGGAAGCTGACATGACAAAGCCAATTCAGCAACTTTGATCATACCCTCCTTATGGTAATGATTTCCCAGAGTAGGATCGACAACGGTTTCAATCTCATGGGCTTTCACTGCATTTCGCACCTGTCATATAAACGCCCAGCTTAGACTCTCAAAGGTGAAGATGTCAGTGTATTTAATGCAGTCAGAAATAATAAAATTCTAAACATTTGTAAAAGACATTTGCTTGATACAAGTTTTTATGCCTGTTCATACACATCCTGTACATGTGTGAGCTGGTTGGAATTGAAAAGTGAAATCAAGGTAACATATAAAGCGCATTTGAAATTGATGCGTTGGTGTATAAGAACCATAAGCATTGTGCTTGAAAATTCAGTGAACTTCAGATCCACTCAGTAGAAAGATAAGGTTACAACAACAAACAGTTTCAAGAGCAAGATCGAATCTAAATCTGGTAGGGTCTCTCGTTCCATTTCTTACCCACTCTAGCAAGGTTGTTGCTTCACTGTCCGGAAATTTGTAGCTTTGAGGTTTTCTGCCGGTGATAATCTCCAAAAGAACCATTCCAAAACTGAAGACATCACTCTTTGTGGTCAATTTTCTTCGAACATAGTACCTGCATTCGGTCATTGCCACGAATAAATACAATTTGAGGTGACACCTGAAAAAACATTGAGCATAACAGCAATTGCATATGTCGATGTGATGTAATAAAACACAAAGCAACCAGGGTGCATTTCTTACTCAGGATCCAGATAGCCGAAGGTTCCCTTGATCATTGTTATAATTCCTGTATTTACATGTTGTTTATCAACATCCAGCTCTGGTGCTTGTCTGGAGATTCCCAGGTCTGCAAGCTTTGCTTGAAGTTCGTGGGTCAGCAGAATGTTCTCACTTTTCACATCCCTATGTATGACTGGAGGCTTGCAGTCTTTGTGCAGATACTCAAGGCCTGCACAACAATAATGTCTCCGTAAGAGACGGGGCTAAACTCCACTGACATCCACTTCTTTGTCACCTGATTGCAGCTCTGGGTTTACTCCATCAAGAAACATAATGCTAGATGGAGGATTGTTTTTTCTGCTTACTCACCTCTTGCAGCATTCATCACAATATCTACACGCTTTTTCCAGCTCAACAGCTCATGTTTTGAACCACCGATCTTCTTCGATGAAGCGCTTTTCTTTGTAGAGCTGGCACCTGAAACACATTAGTCGAACTTATTAAGATTCTTGAGCTCTGAAATTTGAATTCAGTGCCAGATGTATTTTAATAGTGAATAACAAATCCTCTTCCCGATGTTCGTCTTGTCTGGTTTGTGTTTTTTGTCATGGTTTTTCCATTTATGTGTCGGGGATAGAGCTAAAGCGGATACTGTTAGGAAAACTAAGAGAAAAAAAGACTCTTGCGACTGAAGTTCATCAATAACTGAAGACAGACTGTGCTTGATGCAACAAACCTTTGGGATAAAGATGGTCGTGCAATGTGCCTTTTGGCATGTAGACGTAGATCAGTATCTGTTGTTGTGCTTCTAAGCAGTAACCAACCAGACATACGAGATTGCGGTGGTGCAATCTTGACAGCAGTCGGACCTGTGGAATCATGAACGAAGAGATTATCTCCCTGGTGTATATATGAACCCCTTCTCACGAAGGAAACTCCACTGTGGATGGCTATGTGATTCTTAGCGTGTGCTCATAATCTCGTTTAGCCACGTTTTAGGAAATCATCGATACAGTCCAAGATTTGTGAAAGGTTGAGGACGTACCTCGTTCAGAAATTCATCCGCTCCTTGGCTTGAATTCGAAGACCTAACTTTCACTGCTACCTCCTTGCCATCCGGTAGCTTCCCATAATAAACATCTCCGAACCCTCCCTTGCCTATCGAGGTCTTAAAATTGGAAGTGATTGTTTTGACCTCCTTAAATGTGAAACTTTGAGCTGACTTAGGCATGTCCTCTGTTTTCAGATGTAATAATGTATGATCAGGACAGAAGAATACACTTTCACGACAGAACACCTGCGCTTTCAGTTTGTTGTGATCCAAGACCTATTTACAAGAAGATTCATCGATGCAGTTGTTAGCTTTGAGTACATACCAGGTTTAACCTGTTCTTCAAGATTTGACTTGCTCTTTCTCCTCCTAACATATATAAATGCTGCGAGTCCAAGACCGATTCCGATGATGACAACTGCTGCAACTCCAGCGATTATTCCAATCGGGGCACCAGATTTTGATTTCGGCGGTTCCTGCTGCTCGTCCACCGTGATTCTGATGTTTGGGTTGTTGCTAAATCTGAAAAAGAGACTCAGAATATGTCACAACTGTCTTTGACAAGAAGATTTGCAAGTCATGCACAAAGTATTGGAGTTAGAGAGAGGCCATGAGCTGCAAGAGACAGACTTACGAGATGTTCAAGCCTTGCGCTTTTCTGTCTAACAGAGATTGAGGTATTTCTGCAAACTTGTTGTTGTCCAGCAACCTAGAAAAGTAAAGTCACTCAATTGTCACGATATCACATATTCCAACCGGGAAAGTGGCGGACTTGGACGAACTTAAAAGTAATCTGGAAAATTCAGTCTAACACTAATGGGAAGCAAATTCGTGGATAAAATCTGTTTGTGAATTCACGGATTGATCACAGTGCTGCAGAGTATAGTCAATCTCTTGCATAACCACTTACAGAGTCTTGAGATTTGGTAGTTCAGCAAGCGACTCAGGTACTGTGCCATTGAACTGATTATTTCTGAGATCCCTGGCAAAATTTAATTCAAACATGTCAGATCACTTATCACAGTCGTGATCTGCTGTCAATGACCAAAAGTATCCAAGCCTCAGTTAACAAGATGAGCTGCAGCAACCCTCAGATTTCTTATCTTTAGATATGAACCCAGACTCGTCCACTTACAGAATCAGCAAAGTCCTCAACTTTCCGAAGTAAGATGGAATTGGTCCCGTAAGATTATTATTATTCAAGTATCTGCACTTCAGAGAATCAATGATTGTCACAAAAACTCAAATATAACAGCATGGGATCATAACGGTGAAACGAATCAGTGTATATACATTTGGAACCATGGAGCGGTGAAGAGATTCGTTATTTTATAATGCCTCATGCCCGAAAGACATATATTGAAGCAATCAGTCAAGCAGTATCGTCTGAAGGCCAAGATTGCTTTGACATTCCATGCCATGATATTCATGATGCAGATATAGCTCACATCATAAAAAATAGAAACGCGCTACAGCATTTAGAAATCTGGATGAGGGGTAATGAAAATTTACTACGACAGTGCGGAGTATCATTAACCTTTCGACAAGACCTCAAGTCATTTAATCAAAAGGTAAGACATGACCTAAGTGTATATTATATACTGACTTCCTGACAGAACCAGTATTCTCTTTCTATGAACTTACGCAAGTAACCGGTTCCACATCTCCTGGTTATACATGGAGATTTCACCAGTTATCCCAACATTCAGATTTTATTTTTTTGCAGCCATATTTTCTCACAAAATGTGAAGCAATAAGTTTTTGAAGCAATAACCATGGTGCTGAATATAAATTTCAGTTGATTAAAAAGAAACGCTTATTCTTTTGGAACTGACTCAGTATATGAAGCCGAACTTTTTAAAGCTTAAGTGCTTACATCTCTTTCAAGTAGATAAGCTGTTCCCAGGACTCTGGAATTCCTCCTGAGAAGAAATTGTTGCTGAAGGTTCTGATGACGTGAAAGAAAACATATTAGTAACATAAATGGCGGAGAACATGCATGAGCCTCACATACAATGTGTTTCTGCAAAACTCGTCTATCACAAACTTGAGTTTCCTCAGATTAGAACTTACAATAATTCGAGACGATTTTCGCTGTTGGGCTGCTTATTACCAGGAGGAAGGTCAGGCAATATTCCAGAGATAAGATTATTTGCCAAATTCCTGTTATTAAGCAACCGAGATTGTGTGAGCTCTCACTGTCACCTGATTCGATTCGAAAGTGCAATATATCGAATTTGAGTGCTGACTGAGATCGCTCAGCTGACTGATAGACACAGCAGGAGATTTGAGAATAATAACTACGGAAACCTGATAAATTGGGGTTTCCACTTACATTGTTTTAAGACGAATTAACAGGTTCAAGCTAACTGGCACAGTTGTCAACTGGTTGTTCCGAAAATTCCTGTCAACACAAGAAAGGAACTCAAGGATTGGTGGACGACAACATGAAAAATCAATCATTTAGTTTTAGATAGATGTGTGTGTTTCATAACGTACATCAATCCATTTTTCCTCACTTGAATGGCTGGAACACGAATTGTGTCTTGCTATTTTTGTACACTAGCAGCTTATTGTGAATTACCAAGAATGGAAGGAACTCTACGCAGGGCTGGCGGCAGGAAAAAAATATTTTTAACTCACCATCGCATATCATCGCATCCTTCAAAATTGAATATAGACCATGCAGTTTAAGTATGTGGACATTAAGCATTACTGTGTTGAACTTACTTCCTAGTTTGCACTATCTCCACTTTATATTAACAAGACTCGTCCAATAACACAATCAGAGGAGAGATATGAACATTTACACATTCCGAAGAAATGGGAGTTGAAACAAAGGTAGAGGAATGGGCCCAGTGAAATTGTTGTTCTGCAAATGCCTGAAAATGGAGTCATTCAAATGGTTACGATATTAGTAATGAGGAACTAAGGACACCCATCCGGCGCACAATAGTTTTATTTGTTTGGCCTATAGCACTTACTTTATTACAGGCAGGTCTTCTCGGCTTACCGACAATGCATGAAATTTGACTAGAGTGATTTACAATTCTAAACTGTTATCAATACATCGCTGACTTCTCAATTCTTCACGCTCATAACATTTGAGGCTCTTCAGATGCATGGGTGTTTTATCTGCTTTAATAAACTACAAACCGTCATCTTTACTTACAATACGTCAAGTCCACCCGACTTAAACAGATCCGGAATTTGTCCACCTAAACCACAAAAGCTCACATTACTGCACAAAACAATTCCAGCCAGAGGAAATCCATGAGTTATCGAGAGCCACCGGCAGTGAGCTTACTGCTAGTCATCCACGGTGCGATTGACTAATGCAACACTGCGTGAAATTGTTTGAGAAGAGTACTTACAACGTCACAAGGCTGACGGCTTCCGATAGGTCTGGTAGATCTCCAACTAATTGGGGGTTGTTTGACATTTCTCTGCATGAGCCGGCCAAGCACGAGAATACGAATCTTGAGTCAGCACTTGGATTCCAGTGTGAAAACCGAGTAGAACATTAGAATAATAGTCGCTTACCATCCAATTCATCTAAGTTTGAGATTGAATTCTGGAAGTTGGCCTAATAGAGGTTTTCTCGGTACAGAACCTTCCAAGTGGCAGACAGAAGAAAATTCTTTCGCAACATATGCTGATGCCTGGTTAAAGATGCATCAAATCAAGGATTGTTGACGTACATGGTGATAATTGACTTCAGATTCTTGAACTCACTCGGAATGGTACCTGTCAGATTTGAATTTGTCAATAACCTGCCATCAGAATAGATCTCAAGATGTCAGTAACGATGTATAGTACTGTCATCTCACAAAGTGTAACCTCACGAATCGAGTGACGGATCGATCGAGCGAGCGATGGATGCTCAAAGTTGGCCAATGAAAAGAATAGTAAAGGGGTATATTCCGAGGCCTGCTTACAACGACTCCACGTTGGTTTTGGCTCCGGAACACTTAATCCAATTGACATCAGAGCATGGATCTCCCGCTGTCCAGTTTGACAGGTTGAATTTATCGCGCAGAGCCTCAATGGCGGTTACTGGAAAATGAAGCGCAGTATTAGATTGCATAGAGCTCTAGCTTCCTTTTTTTCTCAGAACAATCACATTGGCGCATTTAGTGAATTGAACAATTGTATGTCCCTAACAAAGAAGCTTGGAGGGGCTGCCAACTGAATTTGCATAAGACACATGTGATGGTATGAAAGGAAAGACACTGAAATTGTGTTCATGAGATCACGGAGTATATGGAGGATTCTAAGGAAGGAGATGGTTTTGTACTCTCGTCAGGAGGTAATGCGGCGTTAGCTTTTCGTATCAGCCTGAGGTCCACCGAGCAGAACAATATGAAACATACGACCAGACGATCCATGAATCTCATATTAGGCTGGTGCTGCCACTGCCGCCTCAGTGTCTGTGTCCTCGAGGTGGACATCAGAACCCCTTTCTGATCAGAAGCCTCCAAATCTGTACATAATCTGCAAGGCTCGAGATGACTGCATACGCCTTAGGCGTAATTCGAAATCACACATGCCATATTCAATGCTCAGATGTCCCCGAGGTGCTACTGCTGCTGCCCCTCCTCCTCCTGTCAGTACCGGACTTCTCCAGCAACCTAGGAGAAGGCAGCGAGTGCCCGAGGCTCCATTCACACACTCGTCTCGGACATCTGCTCGAGCTCGTCCCGACACAAGAGACGACGGGTGTCCAATGCTCGGATATGCACGCGATTCAGCTGACCCATGAGGCACCTCGATTTTTGTCCAGAGCACCCCCGTTGGGTCTAATCTTCACTCTTTATTTTCCTGCTCTTTGTTCTGACTTATGTCAGCGCAACAGTATCCGGCCCTCTGTCTTGTAGCGGCACAAAAGTCCTCCCGAGGTATCAACGTAAGAATTACAGCATCGTCACTTCTCCATGCAAAGCGCTTATCAACTTGAGTATGCGAATATAAGTCATGGACCGCAAACAGTTACCACTCGTTGACACACGCTAGATGCGCTTTGTGCACGCTCCAAGTCCACGCACACGCAAGCCACAGTCATCAGCCCTCAAAGGCGAAAGCCATGGTGGAATGTACTCGTGTGGAATTATTCGAATTTGTACTATGGATTGAACCAAGGTAGCTCTAGTGGAGCTCACGTCACAATTCTGCTCACTATAGATATGCTCTCTCTATAATATGAAGGAGAAGTTCTACACTTGCTTGAAGTTTACGAGAATTTTGTTATGACATAATCAACCTGCTTATGATGCTGACTGTCCAATACATACACACGATTGTTCATGAGAGTGACTAATGATGCTTCGAAACAAAGATATCTACTTCGAGTTTACTACCTAGATTACCCCAATCACCAAATGTAGAGGAGAAAGATGATCATAAATTAGAAAATCATGGCAAGTTTGAAGCTCGCTGCAGGGAGTAATATTCGTGGAGATGTTAAATCTAAAAGTAGGCACCTGTATTCATGTTATAAGCTTACGAACGGAAATTATTGTTCTGCATCACTTGAGTCCATTGTGCTTACATCATCCTGCGATGCAAAATCCATTCTTGGTCAAATACAGTTGCTATATTGCTTATGGGATTTCTAAGCCAGTTGCAATCATGGAGGGAATCTTTGATTTATCAATAGTATGATATATCCATGATTTTTCAAATATTTTTTGAAAGTTAGAGTGGTTACGTGGATACTAGATTCACATCTTGACTAAATTTAGCTCTTGTGACAAAAAATTCCAATATATATAAAATGAAGTAGCATGAATCACATGGGTTCATGACGCATTTTATTCTTCTGTTTTTTCTGAAGACTCGACTCTTTATCTTAAATCTCATCTCCGATTTCATTGGTAAACTACTGAGAAATCGTCGCTGCTAAAGGATGGGCTAGCCTGAGCTTTTGCAAAGAAGCAACATTCGTAACAAGCAACTGCTGAGGCGCCAGCTCAATAAGACCTACGATTCCAAATATTAAATAAACCACACCGCTCAAATCGATCTCTCTGGACTCTGCCCGCTGGAGGGCCGGGCCCAGTCGCTGGCGATGGTGGCTTGCCCGCCTTCTACAGAACGAACTATTGTAATGTGAAGTTGTCCAATGATGACTTTTTCCTTGTGCCCTTGAACTGTCGAGATCACATCAGCAGCAGCGTTTGGAAGTAAGTTGGGGATCTCGGTGGGGCAAAATTAAGATAAAGGGCTCCAAGTGGACAGCCATCAGGACGAGTGGGGCAATATTCCCGAACATGATTGTCAACGATCACATCGTCCACGAAGTCTTGAACCTCCTTAGATATTCTGACATCTGTAAAGCCGTCAGAAGGGCGCTTGTCCAGTGGGCTCGACTTGAGAACGAACGACCTGTACGGCATCAGGAGTCTGAGAGGGTCAACGGTCAGCGAGGGACTGTGCTGACACTGTTCTGCGGCGGGCTGTTCTCACTATCGAGAAGTGGCTCTTGTGGAGCCAGCCTTCTGATAACCAGGTCCTCCCTGAGAGGACAGGCGACATTTCCTGTTTTCTCCGAGCCATATCTGCTCAACGAGTCGTAGGTGTTGCAGTCGGCGTGCGCTCCTCGTTCCACATGATATATCATCCATCTTCTTCAATCCATTTTACTGTTTTACTTGGTTCCTTTTTCATTTGGCGTGGTTTTAACCTTGGCTTAACAAACGGCGGATGCAGATCCATGGCATGAAGACTTATACCCTCTTACGTGATGTGTCATCATTTGTTAAATTTGAAGTGCACCAGCAAGTTACACACTTAGATATTTCCGTGAAATTGACATTTTTTCGCATTGGTTTTTTGAAAAAATATAGTTAACAATATTTGCAACGGAAGGCTAAAATTCGAGAACCTAGAGTCTTTGAAACTCTTAATGTGTATTTGGGTTGAACCTGATCTCTTTTTTATACTCTGGTTATGAGTAGAAAGCCTTTGTGTATGTTTGAAGTTTAGACAAGATAGATTCAGAACTCAATGTGGAATTCTGGGATGAAAACCATGAGTTTCAACTTCAATGAATTTCTACTTCTTGTGAACAGCTAATGCATGTTAAGAACATGCAAGTTCTGATGCTCTTGATATTATAGGCACCATATATTGAGCTAATTAAACAATCAATTTAGCATTATATTCAACACCGTTTCGCAATTTCGACAGGCAATAGCTGCAAAATTTCAAACCTGAAAACCATTATTGCTGATAAACCTGCATATATATCCACTTCGTCGCATCTAAGAGTGGAGTCAGCTACTTGCATGGCTCGATGGTAAACGATCTTCATTCTTATGTTCCTCTAGGTATCCACATCTGATTCCAAGTGAATGACTCGAGATTCAAGCCTCGTGCTTACCCGGCTAAAGCAGAGAAATGTCAAACAACCACCACTTAAGTCAAGTGGACCATTACTAAACCTAACGGAATCTACTAGCATTGTGACCTTGTCAGCACTCACCGCAGCCACATTCAAGCTCTTTTGCCTCAGTCAAACAACCCATGGATGACTAGCAGAAAGCTCACTACCGATAGGTCTGGATAACTCATGGATTGCCTTTGACTGAAAATGCCGTGTGCAGTAATGTAAGCTTTTGTGCTTGAAGTGAAGTGGCCAAATTCCGGATCTGGAGAGGTCGGCTGGATTTGACGTGTGTAAGTATCGATGACGGTTTGTGGTAACACACTTTTTGTTTTTTTGCAGAATTTAAACAATTTTGAAAAAGAAGTACCGAAGCAGTGTCTGTAGTTAGGAAATGGTACGTTAAATAGAGTGTATTGAGGAGATCGCGGGTCACGAAGAATCGCGGAGTTGGGCGTAATGGCGCCAAACGCTTTCGGCGCCTTCGGCAAGATCTCCTTTGCTGAGGTGTCTTTACCCACGTGCCTCCGGCGCCTAGGGAAGGTACGCTTCCGGCACAGACACCTCCGGAGGAGATGTCGCTGAAGACGTCAGAAGCCGGCAAGGACCTCTGAATGCTTCCGACCAGGAGTGCGCCTTCGGCGATGCGCCGTTGGCGCGAGAGAGAAACCTTCATAACGATCAGGATTCACGGTAGTTCTATTTGGTTAAGGTCTCATTGGAAAGAGCTCGGGACGCTCGTTCTAACGAGCCCAAGAGCGCCTGAGACGGATCAGGGACGAGGAGGTTATGAGCGTCGGTAAACTCGCATCCGGCGATGCGCTGTTCGCGCTAAGGTTCGCCTTCGGGAAGGACCCTCGTACGCCTTCGGCGATGCGCCTTCGGCGGAACCACGCGCTCATGAGAGGAGATCAAGTCGGAGGCGGAAGCGCCTTTGGCGGCTGTGCGGCGGAAGAGAAGCGCCGGCCTGATGTACGCCTCCAACCAGGCGCGGACAAGCGGGTGCGCTGGCAATTCGCGCCGGCGGGATACGCGCCGTCGGCGATATGCGGGGCAGAACGGACAAAAGAAGTTGTACAAGTACGTGTCGGCGTAATTCGCGCCGACTTGATGTGTGCCTCCAGCGAGGCGCCGACGGAGAAGGAGTACGCCTTCGGTGATACGCCTACGGCGATGGGCAGGTTGGGAAAAGACAACATAGTCGGAGCGTACGCTCCACCGCGGCGAACTCGAGTCCGGAAGCCCTCGGCGATGGCGAACTCAGAGCCGGCGGACGATAGCGGCGGGAGAATTCAACGTTCACGCATGCGAATGCGCGCAGTGCGGAGTCGTGAATTCGAGCATGCGAGGGAGAACCGTTAGGCCGTATAGCCGGCTACGTAATCAAGTTTGACTGTACCCACTGCCTACGAAGAGCGTTGTGCGATCTTGAATTCGGAGAAGAAAAGTCTGCTCTCCACTCTCATTCTCTCATTCTTGATTGTGAGTTTTCCAGCTTCAGAGCTTGAGACGTGCAGCTCAATCGGGCGGAGAGACCTTCAGTGAGTTGGAGAGAGTGCAGGAATCAGTGAGCAGGAAGGAGTGCGTTGCAACTAGGCGCGCGGAGGCGAGTTGCGCGAGGATCTTGACGGACCCCGAAGAGAGTTTGCGAGTAGAGAAATTGAGCGCGCAAGGAAGGAGAGAGCAATTTCAGTTAGTGTCTGAGCGGCCGACGCGCAACGGCGATTGTGAGAGATCGAGCGAGAGAGAAGAACGTCTGTGTGTGCAGGGAAAGCGAGAAATATGTCAAAGGTCCCCCAGCTGCGAGTGTCTCCACTCAGAGTGCCGCAGATCGGTCTGCGCGCATTCTAGGATGTGTTGACAAGGTTGAAGCTTGATTTCCTCCTATGGGGATGGAATTGAACGTGTCCGGAGATGGTGCGCAAATATTTGCGGGAGAAACACCAGCCCTCGCGCGGATTCCGCCCCCACCCTGAGAGATGGGACATTAGTCACTTCGCGCAGGTATTAGGAAGGTGTGCAGGCGAGGAAGGGTATCTCCTCTTCGAGGCCGAAAGCGTGAAGGTGTCGAAGGAGGAAGAGAACTCCTACAATGATATTTTCAAAGTTGGCAAGCATCCCAAGAACGGTTTCCGGACGCGGGATTACAAAGATCGATTACGGAGAAATGTCGCGACTGCATTGCTTCAAATATTGCAGCCGACCAAGACCGCCTACATGCATGGTTGGCAAGTGGGATTTGTGGAGCTAGTGTTGTCATGAGCTCCGGTTCATTGGGCACGGCTCCTGTGGAAGGTGACGCGCCAACATGCGCAAGAAGAGAGAGGAGGGACCCTTAATCATCTTTCGCCTTACCTGATCGTGTTCTATCGAGCGATGGGATGTCTGACAGCTTCAGAGCG